CTCAGACAGGAGCATCAGCGACCCAGACGAACAAGAGGCAAGACAGGACATCCCCGACCTAGGCCAGCGCATCAGGTCATTCACGGGGCCGAGGACGTGCGAAGACGGGCTCGCGGGCATCTTCGACGCCGACAGCAACGAGGAGGTCGAGCCCAGAGGGAACCGCACACGCGAGCACAGCCTGATGGACTTGAGCCCCCCGACGAGCAACCAGTCACGCTGTCCCGCACTTCGCCGAGGACAAGCAGCACAGCACCAGGAGAAGGAAGGCGAAGAGCCAAGCGACGAGGCGGCCCAACTCCAAACGGGCCCAGCGACCCACCACGTCAAGCTGAAGGAGTGTGGCAATGACATCCATGGCGCAGTGGCGCCGGATAACTTGGAGCCACTTGAGATCGCGCTGGAGCAATTTTCTAGCTGGTGGATCACCGACCTGGTCGACAGCCACGCGGGCAAAGTCAGCTGGAACGACTTATGCGTGGACTACGTCAAGCGGGAGTTGCGGCGCGAGGACTTCGATGGGTTCTTCAGGTACGTCAGTGACGCCGAATACGATACCGAACTCCAGCGCCGTGCCCAACAGATATGTGACCGAGGATGGGACGGTGGGCACATCCTGCGAGAACGGCGCCTGGCCCACATGCACGCCCAGAATGGCGACGACTTAACCATAGCGATCCAGCGCCTCACTGCCTACCAGGCCGCGGCAAGGGCTTTCCTAATCCCCAGGCAGCAGATACACCATCATGAGGCATTCCGCGCAGGGCACCTCAACAGCTCTGCGGAATACATCCCCATGGACCAGGATGAGTCCAACGCCAGCGCCGAGCCACAGGAGCACGACCCAGGCAACGACTCCCTCACCGACCACGGCTCCTTCGAGACAGCAGGAGGAACTCCAGCGGCGGCAAGACCGCCGAACGAGCAGCAGCACGTGACAGTCCTCCAAGGACCTCAGAGCCCAGCAGCAGCGGACCCCGCAGGCCTGCCAGACGCAGCGGCGCCAGCAGCGGAACAACTCCCAGCCCCAGAGCTTGCTGCTGCAACAGAGGGTGAAACGGATGCGCCTGACGAAGCGGCTCGCGCAGAAGGGCTGCTCCAGGCCCCATCGCAGGCTGAGCGAGCAGGGTCAGTCGAGCCAGACGCTCCGAGATCCAGGTCCCCGCGCCCAAGACAGAGGCTGGAACAATCTAACAGCAACGACCCCACGGGCAGGGGACACGGAGCGCAGGTGACCAGGCAAACCCACTCTTTCCCCAGCCTGAGCGCCCTCTGCCGACAGCTAAGTGAATCTGCGGCCACGTGGGTTCATGACCTCACTTCGCCAGAAGCAGGGCTAACGTCATGGACGGCATGGGGCAACCAGTACGCCACGGCGCTGCTCAGCAACCCGATTCACAGGCGCCTGCGCGACGAAGTGGAGCTCATCGCAGGCACCGACGGCATCCTCAACTACGTACGTGGTATCATCAATGTCGCGTGGACCACCACGCAGACTATGCGCCAGCGGCTGACGGACCACATCCAGTCCCTTAGTGTTAGTGAATGGCTGCACGTGGTCGCGATGCACTGGGCAAACCTTGACGAGGTCCACCGAATGATGACGGACACGCTAAACGGTGACCTCACCAGCCTTGGAGGCCAGCCACCAGAGTGGGCTCCGCCCCACGGCACGGCCGCAGGAGTATGGTATGGACCACCTACAGCACCAGCACCCGCGCTGCCGAGGCCAACACACATTCCCAACTTGCTCATCACGGAAGGCTGGAGGCGACCATGGCCTAATTGGGACCAGGTGCCCGAACCAGACAGCGACGATGACAACTACCACCATCCTGATGCAGCACCATCTCAAGGCGAGGTCGGCCAGGCCCACCCACAAGTACAGCCACAGGCTGGGCAGGCCCCTGCCGAAGGAGCCCAACAGCACCTTGGGACCCAGCCAGGGGTGGCAGGGGACAACAGCTTCTACCAGGACAACGCCAGCTACGACGATGGCCCACGTGGTGGGGCTGGAAGAGCCGAACCAGAAGGAAGAGATCTCGGGGCAGGTGGAGCCAACGGGGGAGAAGAAGATCAGCCAGCCAGCCCATCGTCACCATGGCCATCGAGATCATCGACGGAGAGCCCCACTGGTGACAGGTGGAGCTCAGACAGTAGCGCAGGCAGAAGGAGGGCAAGGCCAGAAGTCTCTGCCAGCTAGGCAGGGACCGCCGAGGAAGCAGCAGCGATGGACCTGCCGACACTCGGAGCACAACAAGTCGGCCAGACCCAAGCCGAAGCTGTACCAGGAGCCGAACTCCGACGCCGAAGAGCCAATCAGCAGGCCTGGCGAAGAAATACAGCAGGCGGGCGCAGCCGACCCGAGGAGGATGAAGACTTGCAGCTCAGGCAGACCGCCGTGGGGCCAGCGGGACACACCGACAAGGCTCCCCCAACAGTATTCGAGCCTGCACACCAGCGTGAGGTGCAAGATCAAGGCCTCCAGCACGGAGAAGCC